GTAAAAATACGCTAAAATCACGACGATCTTTCTATACGAATACAAAAGAACTCGATCGATGGACTTTAAGACGCGGCCAATCCGAAATGATCATCGCTGTCCATTAAAATTATAGACTTTCTACGATGAAAAATTGATAAAGCGAGAGAGCATGTGGAAACACGACGCGCGTAGTGAGGAGTGATATACAAGGTGTATATCAGAAACCTTGTGACTATATTTTATGCTTCGTGGTATTAATTTTCTTGTCAAGATCAATTTAGAATAGCACATGACAGGTATATATAAATGGTTAGAATATGTACCATATATTTCCACTTTGACGTAGAAATACAATATTTATATATTTATTGTAATCTTAGCATTGTAGTTGACTTTTAAGTAATATAACGCTTTTGTTCGAAACGTGTGTAAAACTACGTGAATTATTGATGTATCATTGTTTGTGCATTGTTTATGCGATATCCGTGTTGAAAGAAAAAATGCGTCCACGGTGCGAGCAGTGGCAATAGTCGAGATACTAACGCATCTTCTCCAGAGAATAGGAGCATTTACTTTGCATATTATTAATTCTCTTTAAAAATATTTTTCTAAAAATTCTTGGGATATATTCGACTCGACCGTTTTATGCGATCCGGCCACTTTCGAACGAGTTCGTTTAAGTGTTCTGCGTTATGGTTTCGATAGAACTCGAAGGGCTACTATAACTATCCCTTGGCACCTGTCACTCGGAAAAATGAGTTTAACTGGGCATTAGCGAGATAAGATGAGCTGATAAATGACGTAGAAAAGCAGGTGAATATCCGATTCGTTTGGGATATGAAGTAAGTTCCGCGGCGATCGTACCGATATTATCGATTATTATAAATAATGCATGTAAAGTACGCTTCTGATCCGAGTTCCTGTGTGGATCAGAATATACGTCCTTGAGATAACGAGTGCCCCTCGTAATCGCTCGCGCCAGAGCGGTGAGTGTTCCGCCCCTGCTCACCTTTCATACACAGCCCGTAATTCGCTAAGTTCATAACTCAAAAAGTAAGCGTCAGATAACATATTCGTGAAGGAAAAATTGTCTCAAAATTCAGTCAGAAACACGTTTTCACAAAAACATTTTCTGTAAATGTTGGAATTACCCTGTTATGCAGGATGTCATACAGATTAATGCGAAACTTATACAATACATTGTATTAATAAAGTCAAGTATTAGAAGTGTGATTTAGTTTCGAGGGTTTTGCAAGAGATGAAAATATTTGGATTAGGGTATTTGTTCATTATCTTCTTTAAATAAATCAGTTTTCAAGAAAAATTACACATTAATAGGTGAAAATACTTTACATAAATTTTTGCTACCAGAAATGCTTTATTAAAAGTTTATAAATATTTAAAGTTTTACAAGTAAATTATTCTTAACAATTTGTTGTAGAAGTTATACGGTTTACATATGCTGCTATACTTTATTTTAGAAGAACTGTACGTCTTAATCCGTATAATTTGACGTTGGATCAATGACAAACCAATCATTTGGTCTCCTGTAGCACCAAATTTAACGCTTCTTGATTTCTATTTACGAGATGAAAATAGATTGATTTATGAGAATTTAATAGGAATATCACTCTCTAATTTCTTTGGATTTCACACTAAACAGTGAAAATTGAGCCAGTCTTGAAAAGCATTGCTCAATTTTCGGTCTTTAAAAGAGATTTCACTGTTCAAAATGTGACTCATTGTCAGTGTATGTACATTTCTAATATAGTAGGAACATTCCAAAGATTTTTCAACCATCATTAGTTTGATAAGCCTGTATTTTTACAGAAAAAAGAATTATCAAATACTTATTATTATAACTGTTGTAACAATTAATAAGATTCGTATACGGATCAAGATATGTCAATTGTTTTAACTCAGTAACTCCATATAACAAGTTACAGAAAATAATTCTGTTTACAAATCTTTAAACGTTTATAATTTTTTAATAAAGTAATTTTAAACATAAGTTTATCCGAACTTTTCTCATCTAATATTTGACCTAATTATCATATTGTATAAGTTTAGCATTGATTTTTGTAAACACCCTCGATATCTGACGAATATTCACCGCAGTTATAAGCAAGTATCTATGGAATGAATGCATCGATTGGAGTTTTCGTTAGGCTAGCAAATCTTTCTGGTGACGCGACCTAGAAGTTATCGTAAAAAATGACTGTTTCTTTTCCTCCTTGAGAACATAAACTGTTTTTTTTTTTTTCGGATAGCCGCCGCCTCTGTTGTCGGAAGCACCTGTCCGTCCGTGATGAAAAATTTTTCAAAGTACATTGGGTTTGATGCCCAGCGATTTTAAGCAGTGGCAAAAGGATTCGCCATATGGTAGCTTAGTCGCCGCGAGGATCGAGCAGTCGTGTCTTGGGAGGAACCGACGGTTCGGGGAACTGAAGAGCCATTTATTTGGCGTGTGCTGTATAATTAGGACTAGAGGAGACCTGGCCACACGGGAGAGCATATTGTCTATTCCTTTTTCTTTTTCTTTCCCGATCCATGTGGAAAGTTTTGGAAATATATATTATATAGGCTAGGCGCCGTGTGGTCAGCTAAATTTCAGTCAAAACTGCACTCCACTGGCCGAGAGATATTTCCTCAAATACCTGAATCGTCCAAGGAATCCTGGGAAGATACCTGTTCTAATCGACGGGGAGAGAGATAAGAAATCGAAGGCCGTACGTTTTCGAGCGAGATAGAGACGGCGCTGTATCTCCAAATCCATGTATAAGCACATTTCGCTTATCTGCGGCATTATGGGAAGAGAGTTAACGATCGTTTTGACATATATATGTCGAGGATAGCATTCGTAAAACGGTAAACAATGCGTCTAGGCTGCTGCACAATATTTAAGGAATGTAGAAAAAAAATGTATAGAGCATTACGAAAACCACGTCGTATTTCGAATATAAGAGAATCGACTAACGTATAATATTATTACAACAATTTTCCACGATATGTTCATGTTTGAAATCGGCGCACAGCCCACCCCCCAGGTGATTCACCCTCCCTCCTCCGTGTACCCCGGGATTTCACATAATTTTGGGTTTCGCCGGGTAAACGGTATCGCGTTTCTTGGGACGCACCGACGGATTGGCGCATTGTCAACCGACAGGAGCCACCTAAGGCTCTCCCAGGGTGGTTGGCAGTCTCCGATCCCTTTCTTCCTCCGCAGCGGAGCACGCGCGCGTTGCCTCCATAAAGGAGCTTTTTTTCTGTCAGAAAGACAAAAAACAAGGCACGCCGAGGTAAAAGCGGAAAAGGGGGAGCGCTCCTCCCGCTCGGGCTGCATTCCCCTTGCTTTTAGGAACGCGTGGCGTGGCACACGACGCCATTATTCTTCCACTTCGTCTTCGCTCGGGATCTCGAGGACGATCGTCTGGACGAAGAGAGAAAGGGAATACACGGCGCGCTTGTTGCTGCGACGTAGTCCGGAAAAGTTATCGTCACGTCGCGATTACCTTCGTTGGCGTTTAAAAAGTCGAACTTGACGATATCTCGCGCAGAACGGTTCCACGACGATTGTTAATATATGTCTAGTAAAAAGACCACACATTATTGCTATCAAGGCACATCAAAATCTAAAATGTTAAATTAACAACAAAATTGATCAAATAAAATATTTTTCACATACGTTATCTGATAGGCATTAAAACAGTAGCTGCGTAGCTACCCACGTAACATTTATGTAACTTATCGCATATGCGATAAATTAAATATAAGTCGACCGGGGATTATGTAAAAATAACGAAGGTCTTGCGAATTCCGTGTAAGTTTACATACTTTCATGAAAGATAAATTGTATCGGAATTAAGACACGCACGCGCCATTAGAGACGATCGCGATCATTTGTGAATGTTTACCTATTTTGTAGCGGTACTTCGGGTAGCAGAGAGCGTACAGAGAACGGGGGTTCTCGGCGTGCTTTCCCGGATCCTGACCCCAAAACAACACTCAATGCCATATAAGAAACGGAGCGTTTGCCGCCAGATTTCCTTGACGTGTTGGCACAGTTTTTCACAATGGGGCCAATGCTGCGCGGTGTAAACTTATATACGCCTGCACCGTTGTGCAACGAGAGAGCCGACGGTCCCCCTTTGGTCCTCCGCTCTAAATTCAGTGCCTACTTACCTTCCACTCGTTTCCTCCTGCAAGAGCTGAAATATAATGGTTTCTATAACAGTATCAAGCAAGAATATAGAAGTTAATATCTTGAGTTAGGACTATTCGCATTTTGAAACGCAAAAAGTGAGCGACGTGCCAGATAACCTGTTATAGTTTTAGTAGAAATCAGTTTTGTTCGAATTAAAAATAATATATGACACGTATAAAGTTTTTATAAAACAATAAACTTAATTAATATAATACTAAGATATATATTAAAGCTCCTGTTCACTTATATATTATTTAAAAGAGACAAAACAGATGCTTTCAAGATTAGCTCAATTTTTATTTAAGAGAGCACAATAAAAATTCTCTTACAATTAATATACATATGTAATAAAGATTTTTTTTTAATAAAACAACATTTGCAATCGACAGATTTATTAATTTACATTTGTTATAGCCATGATCGAAGATTACTTTGTTTTTGATTATGCATAATTAATTTCCAAGTACATGGTTATTTACTAATTAATGAAACGAAAAGAAAGTTTTCGATTATATACATATTATGTAAATCAGTTCTATCAATTGTTTTTTTTTTTTTATTAAAACGTATTTTCATTTTAATAAATTTGGCAACAATTTTTATTGTACATTTTCTCGCTTTTCAATAATCTGAGACAGTATAGGTGAGTGAAGAGAAGCCTTAACGCAACCATTATTTTACCATCTTACACTCCTCGTGACCGAATAATAAGTACCACAAGATAAATGTTATCGCAGATTATTCGAGTTTATTAGACAAAAGAATTAATAAAGGGTAAGTAAAGAGTCCGCGCAGGACTCGAGAGACTGCCGATCTATGAATTCGAGCGATTCAGCCTGACTCGATCCGCTGCATCTGCCGCACGTGCCCCCATATTACAGCATAATGTGTCACTGTGCCACGGTCGTGCCACCCCTCTCTTCAGCCCTTCAGCAATGCTCGCAGCTTCGCCCGCTGCTTGATCGCGCGTGTATGGAATCCTAGATTTTGGAAATCCGAATAGAGAGAGTACAGCTGAATGCAGGTCGCGCGCGCCGCGCCAGTCCTCCATCGGGGAGAAAACGTACCGGGGGAGGGGGGGTGGTTTTTCAGCATGCATTTTCCCCCTCCCAGGGGTGGCTGCTGCTGTCGTTCCTCGGTATTTCTCTCCACTCTGCGTTTTCTAAATCAAACGAGCGAATCCCGTGATGCAACCTCGGATGAGTCGTGGAAATACTGTCGCTTTTGTGATGCCCGCGCGGCACTCGATCCGAGTCGCGCGTGTGGCAGCACGTTGGGAAATAACGATTCCCAATGATAATCGATGTCACGCCGAAGAATCTCGATGGAAATTTCTTCCTGCGGACCACTCTGTGTTTAAATTTCAATTTATTATTAGATTTAACTAAATTTAAATGCGATTGCATTGGAATAGAATAAAATATCGCGCTGTCAAAATTTGATATGAAATATCGTGGTACAATCAAATTTCATTCGGTCTAATTTTGTCGGCGAAAGGAGAGATCCTCTTTATAAATATTCATGATACAGTTAACGATTAACCCTGCTGACGATTTCTACAAGTATCGTAAATTGTATCTATTTCAAATTCTTCACCGCATTTATCTTTCGCCGTTGTATCTTATTAAATCATTATAAATAACGAGATATGGATTATCGGGTCAAGTGCCAAATAACTGAGACTCGAGAACGATTAAACAGTGAGATTTAATAATAAAAATAGTTTGACAGAGTAGTCAATTTAATGGAACATTTCATAACTGATTACAGAAATTGTGTGATTGCAAAGATCGGGGCACGAAATATTACGGATAAACACGTACAATATTAAAGGTTCTTCTCTTCGCTTTACTGTTGTTGTCGATCATGAGAATTCAAAATTGGCAGTCAATAATAATTATTACAATTAGCGTTATTTCCTAGACGCGAATTACTTACAAAACAGTTTACATTATATATTTGTACGAACGATATTCTTCTCACTTTTTCACTCTTTCTCATTCTCACATACGCACACACGCACGCACGCACACACACTCTCTCTCTCTCTCTCTCTCTCTTCGTAATACACTTTTCTTATCTCTCTTTACTCTTTTTATAGGAATATTATTTAAAATCAGTCTTGTGGTTGAGATATATTAGGTGTACGGTGAGGTAGTGTCTGTTTCATAGTATACGTACAATGCCGCTTGATCCGCTGTTTGCGCCGTACGTTGCGTTGTCGAACGACACGTCAACTGAACTTCGCGAGAACGCGATCAAGCGGCCGCATCTCGCGCTCTTTACAGCCGTATAAAACCGATTATCATTATTATCTATTGAGACCGTGTTCCATTTTCACTTTTTAACCGTAGAGGCATAAGGTCATGCAACGTCAACTGAACTTCGCGAGAACGCGATCAAGCGGCCGCATCTCGCGCTCTTTACAGCCGTATAAAACCGATTATCATTATTATCTATTGAGACCGTGTTCCATTTTCACTTTTTAACCGTAGAGGCATAAGGTCTGAGAATTTGTACCGTGTTATATATCGTTAACGCGCGCGAGAATCCGAGACGGGGAAGGGAATTCGAGGGAGAGAAGCGGGCGGGAACGAGAGTTTATTGTCGCGCGTCGCGCAGCTTCCGGCGCGGTCGCGAAAGAGTTGGCACTCTGGTTTCGGGATATGCGGTTGTTTTGTGCGTCAATTACAAGGGGCGTCCGCACGCGCTCAGATTCCGCGCGCGCCGCGATTGGCTGTATAAAATTATATATATATAGATATAAATTTAGTTACATATAGATATAAAGAATTGTATACACGTTCTCTTATCCGAGAGCCACCGGAACATGGAGTACGGAGTGCGATTGGAGTCGCGGAAGCGCTCGGCACAGCGACTCGACATGGATAACGGAAATCGTTCGACAAAGAGTTCAACGAGCGTAACTTACGCCCTTCTATATTTTCAAAAAAAAGAAGAAGGCCAGAAAGAAATCACGCGGCAAAATGCGCGCGAAAACGAGATGTAAAAGAAGCAGCTGAATATTCAGAGTTCATTAATAAATGTCAGAGTTTAATTCGTTGAAGCGGTGTGTAACGTTTACGCGCGGGTACAAAAAAGAAAACAATCTATACCTGTTACGATAGAAGTAATCAATTGGTGTTCGTACGAGATCGTCTGGTGATTCCGTAGAATCGCTGCGGCTGTGTTGGCGCATGTAGTAAAAATTGTTTCAATTACGTATACATTCCACTGGAGCGATTTTATAAAGATTAAGTTCGCGTCCTCGTCAATCGGTCATCAGCGATGAAATTAAACAGCTGCTGTTGTAACATCACTAGTGACGGAGTGAGGGAGGGACAATTTATAAAATCATACGTAATTACGCGAGAGAGGCGCGTTTGGAATTTTTCTTTTATTCGCCAAAATAGTCGGCGATTCTGCGGAATAGCCAGGCGCATTTTGCAGGATCACCAAATTAGACGCATTTTCATCGTAACATATTGACACGCTAAAATTCGTATATAAGGAACAGATAGTCCTTTCCATTATACATATATATATATAATTTTCTCATCTCCTTTTATATATATTATATATCTATATTTTTTAAATACTTTTTTCAAGCAGTTCAAATATTCAAATGCTTTTGTATGCCCCGATCATCCGTCTTGTCGTATCTTTTAGATTGCCTTTGTCTTTCTGTTATTCTTTTGTCATAAAAATCTAGTAATATCTTATTGATAATAAGATACTTGCTATCTTTATTCCTCATGCAATATTACTTGTACACTTTGTCGTACGTTTCGGTCACCGCATCCGTACAACGTACTCCTCGTTCGAGTACTCGTCATATAATTAATACATTACAATTATTCGACACAAATATATATATGTATGTGTGTGTGTGTGTGTGTGTGTGTGTGTGTGTCGGGGGGTGTGTATGTGTATATATAATATGTATACATAGGTTTTTTGCACGTTAAGAGTAAGAGGACAACAACAATGATGATTACAGTAGGATAAGCGATAACCTTATTCATTAATCACGACGCTTAACGTGATTCTTCGTCTCGTCGATATCTCAGATATTCCCGTGACTCAGAGGTCTGCTTATGTATATAGGAAACGAAAAAGGTATAGCGGGGCCGGTGTCCAATCAGGCCCGGCAGGAACGTAAGTTTACGAACAGCGTTTCGGAACTAACAACCATTAACTAGAAATCGATATCTCTCAAGGTACTTTTGCATTCGACATCGCGTAAAGCGCGCACCGCGTCACACCGACCGAAAGTCAATAACACGCGGCTCAAGAAGATCGGTTTCGGTAACGCGGGACGCGTACGAATGTCGAACGTTAGGAACAAAACTAGGACGCGATATATCCGGTTTATTCAGTTTTGCTTCCCGATCGACAATTCGCCACCATTGCCGATTCGGAATCGACCGTCGTGCGCTGAATGGTATATCCGATGTACTTCGAGGACGCGTCAAGTATTACCTGTCTGAGCAAACTGAGGAAACTGGAGAACGTGCAGTGTGTTTTGCCTTGAACGACGCTGGAAATAACAAGCGACTAATATACCGAGCGAATAATAACGCAAATCGATAGCGCCCTAAAATCGGAGCGTATTCTAAAATATTAAGCATGGACTGAAAAGACGGCAGAATTTCGACGAGTTCAATTCTCGGTGCTCGCAAAAAAAGGAGAAGAGAATCAAAACAAGATACACTCTATGCCGATCGTCGACGCGAATCGAGCATGGAGATCGCTTTCGTATTCCCGTAAACATAACCCGCGTTTGAACTCGACGAAATTACGGTTTAACGTCGATCGCTATTCTGAAGACGCTATTCCGAGGACGTTCTCTTTCGCGTTGTGACCAAGTCACCTGTAATTGGGCCGCGTGACGAGGGAAGGTTTTTGCTCGGAGCGCTTGCGCTCTTGACAAGACAACTCTTCCTCTCGGCGCCATCCGATTAATCGCGATGTCTCTCTCGTCGCAGTCCCTATAGACTCGATATGTCGTCTCCACCGTCCGAAGACCGGTTCCTCGTCCTCGCGATTGTATTGCGAACTGATCACAAGTAAATTCGTTAAGTGATCGTCCCGTCGTGGCATCACCGCCCGTTCATCTGTCACTCCAGAGGAAGGAAAACTTCGAGGGGTTGGAACGCCGTTCCCTCTCCGCATGTATATGTACACAATAATATACTCGGGGGTTTTCGGGGTGAAATTTGCCTTTCTTTCGGGGCACGAGATCCGGGGCCCTACTGACCTCTGTCGCCTTCCGCCGCGTGCTTCACGCGGTGGTAGAAAAATGTCCCGACGCGGTGTCAATGGCAAACGGAGCACGTTCAATAGAGAGGTGACGTTTTTCATATTGTTTCGCGAGATCCGTAGAATGTAAAGCCATTGAGATTCGATTGCTACCTGACGGCTGCTTCCAGCGATTGAGTTTCAACGATACCAACCACATTCTGTGTGTGTGTGAACTCTATCCCAGAATTACGCCGAGAGATAACAATGCGTTAATCGAGCAAGCGCGTTTACGCGAACGAATCGTGGAGAAACGGTGCATTATTTCTATCTTAAAACTAATCTACGAATGAATATACTATACTAATAAAACAAATGATATTAACACGTGCTTTTGCGAAAAGAAAACTCGATCGAACGGGAAATTGTATAACATTCACTGATTATATGCACGAGACGTTCCGTACAAGGAACAGGAAGAGCAAACTGTAAATAATAATATGAAAAGCCGAACGAATAAAACAAAAATTGTGAGCAGGGGTTTAGTGCTTAAAAAGATTCAACAAGGGATTCAGAAGAAAAAAATCGCCGCGTTATATGCTTGTTGTCCCGTACAAAATGGAAGAAATATATTAGGGATAGAGATGAATATTAAATATTAGATATAAAAAGAATCTCTAAAAAGCCTAATTTTTTTACTTCTAATATTTAATATTTATTCCTGTTTCTAATATTTCTCCCATTGTGCGCAAGAACCTGTGCTTGAAAAGAAATACCAAAAAAAATGACACAACAAATGCCGCAGTGATTGATTGATTGATTCTAATGCGCTATCCAGCTCCCTTTTTTTGTATCTCTGTATAAAAGAACGTTAGGTCAAATTCTTATAAAATAGTTGAGGTGTCCCGTTAGAGAGTGTAAAAATGAGAATAAAAAGAAAAAGAGTCGGAAAGAATAAGAATGTGAAAATAAGCGTGAGTTGTAATTTTTACAACAAATATATTGCTGCGTTGATAGAAAAGTGACACAAGTTAAAAATTAGCATTTTTAAGATAATGAAAGGAAACCCTTATAAAAAGTCTAGTCTACTATATTTTTGTAGAAAAAGGACACAGCTCATGTGAACAAGTGTCACAACTCTGATAAGGGATAAAATTTACACTATACTAGGATTACAATGTCCAAATTTTAAAAACTTATGACATAGTTTTAAAGAATACATTAGAATGGAAAGTATGAAAAAAAGTAAATGTATAGAAATTGCATATTCACTATCCTGATCAAAACGTACATTTCAATTCAGAATTTTAAAAATGCAATATTATAATAAAAAGTAGCTGATTTTGAGATGTGTCACTTTTTTAGCAAGGCAGCGATATGTCTTGAAATAAAATTGAAAGAAAAGTTGATCTATCGCGCATAAAATCTCAACGTTACCTTAATATTTTGTTTAAAACAAACTCACGTGAATGTTAATTGTTATTAAACATCTCTACTTGCAAACACTGTTTTACTTGCGTGCGATTTTAAACAGTTCTTTTAGCGATTGCGAAACTAGAACATGTGTTTAAAAGTGGAAACTTTAAACTGCGAATGATGCGAATTCGGGATATACCTGCGTTCGTCTTCCTTTTCTTGCAGAATGGTTGAACAAAACGGTCGAAAGATAAACGAGGGCAATTTCGACCAAGTATTCTGAGCGAATTCGTGCAAAATGTATTATCTTTCCTCTTGTACTTTCTTTCTCTATCTTTCAGTTTTTTATTTTTCTATGAGATATAGGAGGATAACGATTTGTGTTCTGAAGCGTTCTGTAGCAAAAGGACTAACGGAGCTGGAAATCGGAACACATTTTCAATTTAAAAAATAAGTCACGGTATACAATGTAGCTCTAGGTGGCCTCGTAACTGGTCTAGATGAAGAATTATTTCACATAAATCAGATCCATATTCAGACATAAAGAAATACGTCGAGGAGTAGAGTCGGGGGTGCGCGTTGGGAAGTGGAAAAAAGTCCGGCTGCAAAATTTTTCGTCCCCAATGTCATCGCGAAACTGGTTCGTGACATTCGTGCGAACGACGTAACACGCCGGCTGTGGAAGGCAAAAAAAAAAAAAGTCCAGTACAAAAAATGCTTAGATCTCTTTGAAAGGATTTATTACGAGACCGGGTGCGCGCGTTCGAAGGCGGAAATCGGAGAAGCGGAGATCTCGATTATGCGTACATCATTCTCTACGATCAAGGCGAAACTGGAAGAGGTAATGGAAGTGGAGGTCGGTTTGAATTTTAAATCAAGCCGCTCGACGATTACAATTTTCCAGTTTGCTGAACCGCCACAGACGCGGATGACGACACTCGTCACATTATTTAAAAAAAAAAAAAAAACCGTATTTGCTGATTTTACTAATTCAAGAGCATTGACTGCGTTTAGCAGGGAAAGTACTTTTCTAACTGTTGGAAGATTCTTTAATACGATTGGTTCTTGCTCTTTTAGATTTAAATGCTCACCACTAGATCTAAATGTATAAACTAATCGTATTTATTTTACAGCAATTGTTGAGTCGTTTTTCCTGCTAAACGCAGCCAGGTACGACTGCCGTTTGATTTTGACGGTAAACAATCAGCTGTTTAAAGGGCGTCAAATGTGTTCCACGCTTCAAAATCGTTTTAGTGACTCTAATTGAAAGAGCGCCCGTTCGATCGAGACAGCGCGGCCAACAAATCTCCGGATAATCGCGAAGGGTGAGGAAAAAAAGTGTAACGGATGATGTAGTACAAATCGTATAGGATAGCGTGTAACTCGCGACGGCGCGGCGACAGTGGACTGATGGACCGTCGTCACTCTCCCCCGCTATTTTTTACTGTCAGAGGAACTTGTATACCAGTATATCCAATCCGAACAGCTATATTTTCTCCTCTCTCGTCGACGCAACGGCGCGTATACCGTTCGCTCATGAGGACGCACATATGTCCTACCTTCGTCCTCTATTATCTATCTAACTATATATCTATGTTAAGTTTTTTCATCGCCATCGGACAAACAAAAGACATTAACACAACGATCAACTAAACACGAGTCCCTCCTATTACTTAATTTTCTTTTTTCTCCTTATTCTTTTCGCCGGTTGCGAAACTATGTACACGACAAAGACTTCGCGCTTCTTCACGGAGCGTGGCGATCGTAACCAGGTAATCAAGATCTATCACGCGAGACGTATAAGGCGATGGAACCTTATACAAGAGAGAATGCCGTGTAAATAACACCCTTATTACAGTGGCCCAATGGTGTGTCGAGGACGAGTTACACGGAAAGGGCATTGTTTACGCAGTTTTCTCTACATACCGGCGTGACTTCACTAGGAGGCGTGATGATCGTTTTCTACGGCGACTTGTTGACGAGGGGTGCGGGAACGCCTCAGGAACATGGTCGCTTCGTCTTCCTCGTCATCCTCCTCCGGATTGGTCTCGTTGCTAACATCGGCGTTCAACGACGAGTTATTGCTGCCGCCAGAGTGTGACCTGCGCGAGGACGATTTGTTCATAGACAGATCCTCGGGTTCCGTTTGCACTGGCAAAACAACTGGGGGAGGATTCAGCGTCATCGAGCCAGGGTACACCGGGCCGTTTCGCTCGGGATTAATTCGTAGATGACGAGCCAGTCTGTGGATCGGCGTGATGTATTTCCTGTTGAGCGCGATTCCTTCCGGTTCCTCTTCCGGCGCCGGCTCCGCGTCGATGTCCACATCAGCATCAACATCGACGTATTCCTCCGAGTCGAGCTCGTCACTGTTCAACGACGGGGATGACTCGGCCTCGGCTGGCGGTGACTCCTGCGACGCGCCGTTACCGCACTTGTGCTGCTGCAAATGGTGCCGCCTTCTGAAACGCATTTGACAGCTCTCGCACTCGAATGGCTTCTCGTTGTTGTGTATCAGCATGTGCGCCTTCAGCTGATTCGAGTCGCTGAACCTGGACGTGCACATGTCGCAAGCGTACGGACGCTCGCCCGTGTGCACGCGTAGATGACGGCGGAGATTCGCCACCTGGACGAACTTTCGTTCGCAGAATTTGCATTTGTAAGGTTTTTCGCCCGTATGGAGCCGCATGTGCGTCTTCAGGTGATGGTCCCGGGTAAATCTGCAAAATCAAAGATCAAGGATCATTGGCCGAACTTGCCATTTTAATGAACAAACTAAAAGAATCGTACACTGAGAGAAAAGTATTGGTGACTATAATTACACACTAAAATAATTATAATCAGGAGCTCTAGTTGTTATTCTATAATGTTATGGTAATAATTATATTCATATATATACACCAAAACAGAGATGCAGGGTAAGTTCTACAAATATGTGTGGTAAATCTATATGTACCTAACGATAATTATAAGTTTCAAAATTACATTATTATATGCGATTCAAATTAGGTATAATTCTCGAGATGAGTTCTCCAACTTGATTAACCACTCGCATAATTTTTATATCAATTGTACAAATGTTCGATAATGGCCATTATGTCAATTATGTAAAATACCTCGTTATTTCTACAGGATTTGATAATAGCTTATAAAATTAATTATTAAGTTAATTTATTTTTTAGTTAGTTAAATTTAATTTAAAAGACTTTATTATCATTCTGCTGGTTTCTCATCAGTTTCAAATGCGAATAAGTTAAATTAAAAATTAATTAATTAAAAATTCAACTCTTAATATAAACAATAATCCATAATAATAAAAGGGCCAAGAAGAGTCAATTTTAATTAACTAAAAATAAAATAAAATAAAACTAATGACATATTTAATTCTAAATTAAGATTACAAGTCATATATTGAAATTAATGATTTACAAACAAATAATATTTAACTTAAAACTAACTATAATAGTGCTTAAAATTAAAATTGACAAGTATCGACTCCTAGATTGAGTCCTCTTCAGAATTCGAATCATCTTATTCGTGGATAAATATATTGTAGAAAAACATGACATTGTTAGTTGAATATTGATAATTCATAAATTAACAATATTTCTGTAAAATTAATGTAACAAAGTTGTACAATATGATATGTGAAAGTCCAAATTCAACGAAACACTTACCAACAATAGTCGCAATAAATCTAAATTAAAATAAAATCTGTCCAATATTTTGAAAGTAGTAGATGTAGATAATACACTGATATACATTAAAATATAATATAAAATATAATAAACGACACATTGTAATTTTTGAACAAAAAACAACTTGTGTACATTATATGGAGAGATGTAGTAACCATTAGAGAAAGTATCTGAACAGACTGAGCAAGGAAGACAAGTAAATTGATATTGAAAGTTTATCCTTAATTAACCATGTTAAAAATTAATATTTAACCTATCATTGTCACAATGATCTCTATCGCGCCTCACGGTTGTCACACTGGCTCAAATTGGAACTCACAGTTCCAAATCGGACCGGAAAACGCATTTTTACATTTTCCATTATAGTTCGAAACAGGTAAGAGATAAGTCAAAATGATCTGAAGCAAAAATGAAGGAATTAAATGATCTTTCGAACGGCACCATTTATTATCGGACTTTATGTACACTTTATAGAGAACAAAAACTGTAAATAGGTCCGATTTAGCTCACTTATATATATATATATATATATATATATATATATATATATATATAAACACACA